ACTTGTACATAAATTCATGCTATTTTTACATTTCTGTTAATATCTAGTTTAAAGCCTTAGAATTCTTTGTTGGTGCTTTTCTGAGAAAAAAAAATCATCTCTTCTATTTGCTGATCAAGATTTCAAATTGGACCATTTTTCTGTTCCTTACTCTCCTTCTGTTCTTAATGTTTAATCAATTGGAGTGAGGGAGACGCGTTTCATAACGTAAATTCTGATAACGACAAGATGCCCATCTGTTGTGGATGGCTAACAGCTGCAAAGCATGCTGGGACTTGTGGGGAAGGTATTAAAAAGAAAGCACAAAGAGAAAATTTCAGTTTGAGGTCATTTGACAAACTGAGTTCATATCTGATGAGTTTCAAATGGCTTGTAAGCTTTTTTTTTTTTTTTTTTTTTTTTTTTTTTTTTTTGATCTTGCCATAGATAGTGTCATATGTGCTCATATATCTTCATATACATGCATGTACAGATTTTCTTAAATATCTGTATAACTTTGCACATGTGTATGTTTTCATTATATAATGGTTGTTTGCTTCAAAGTATGCCCATCTACTAGAGTGGCTAACTAATCCATGCTGTAGACCCCTGCTCAGACACATTTGTGTTGCTTCAACACACCAGAGCCAATCTGTGGTTTTTACAGATAATATGTAGAGCAAACCTTAGAGATTCTGGGAGAGAGTACATAATCTGGTATGATCAACAGTTTTGAATAAGACCAGTATGCTCAAATTCTTGGTCACAATGTCTTGTGACTTTATGCTAGCATAACCACTGATAGCTTCTGAACAGTTTTGTTTACCTAATTTTATCTCAAGGTTTGGAGAAATATGTGGTATGGTTTCTAGGCACTTCTCAACTGTGCTGCATCCTTGGATTGTCACCCCACACCAATATCAAATCACCTCCTTGCCAAATCAACCATGGTGAGAATCAAACCCAGGTCTTGTGGTTTGAGCACTAAGGTTCTAACCTCTTGGCCAAGCACTGAGATATATTTTCCTTTTTATAATGGGAAAATTATGTAATACACATAAACAAACAATTTCAGATTAGATTGCATAAAAAAAAAACTTTATATTTTTTTTTATGTAAAATATTTTAAGCAATATGTATCTGTTAATATGTTCAATTTAATCATCTAAACCCTGATGAACGACTTTGGCATTGAGCCTTCAGATTATTTTATATTTTAATCTTTAGCTTTTATTCTTACTATTTGTGTATGTGTGTGTGTGTGTGTGTATAATTTATATATATATTAAAATAATGAGAAAGAACAGTAAGATTTATAATCTGGTGTTCTTATTAATTGTTTTTATTTTTAAAAAACTGCTTAATACAATTCTGTAGAGCATAAACATTATAAATCCATTCAAAATGATTGGATTTCCCATAACCTTAACAACTAATAATATCAAGATTGTATGTGCGTATAAATTCAGTAAAATGGCTATTTTTGAAGTGATGTTATAACATGCATATGTTATAATTTTGAATAAATATTATTTGCTCTACTCTGTATTGAGCACTCTTTTAAGAATAGTGTTTTTGGTTATCGGAATTTTATTCCATCTGTACCAACCTTGTACTTATATATATATATATATATATATATATATATATATACTCACTCACATATTTACATGAACAAAGATTGTGTATGTGTATGTATATATATATATATATATATATATATATATAGGTCTTTGTTTGATACAAGGCTACAATTATGGAGCACCTGGTGAGGAGTGATATTAAAAGATTAATGGTCCCTAAAAATATTTTTCTGACTACTGATACTTGCTGAAGTGATTCTTTCTGTGTGAGTGTGTGCGTGTTAACATTTAAATAGCTTGGCATGTATGTATGTATGCAGGTATAAACATTTCAGTCAGTGTATGTATATGTATGTTTTGCAAATAGTGATAAGTTTGTTCCTTATTTATTTTTCTATGTTGAATATTTTTCTTTCTTTCTTTTTACCTGCCCTTCATAAAATATATGACAAAAATGTCGCTTCAATGAAGGCTCATGGGAACTAAGTATGTTTATCTAAAACCTTGGATATGACTTCCGCTGATAAGGTTATTTTGAAGTTCTGAAGCTCAACTCATTGCAGACTTCTGATGTCTGTAGCTTGATATCTTTGTCCGTTTGTCCCCCTGATAAGCAACTGCATTGTAGGCATAAATGACACTGGGACAGATTCTAATGTCTAAGATAAAAATATAAGTAAAATGCTAATGGACAAATATCATCCTGCAAAAACAACCCATTTCTTTCTGTCCTGTTTATGAACTTTACAAACTAAAAAAATAAAAGTCTATCCTTATTTACAATTAAATTATTGCTATTGTCACTCAATTTACTATACCCAAATAATAATGCCATGATATGTGTAACTATAATTAAATTTCAATTTGTTCTGTTTGTCGGTTCATATTTTTCACCTACTGGGAAATTTTGCAAGAAAGTTTCTCATTATTTTGACACTAATTTTGACTATTTTTTATCATAACCTTCATTCATATTGTTGTCATAGAAACCAATGGAGGTAATTAATACCAGTCACTTTATTTTGAGCAGTTTTTGGAATAAATTATGCAGAATTCAGAACTGAATGAAATCCATACCCATGTTGTCAATTTTGATCACAATGATATGGATACAATATAAATAAATAAAAAGCTAGACTTACTTAGAATTAAATTATTGGTACCTTCACTTGAGTTCATGCACCTAAATATTAAAATGTAAAAGTAATTGTGAAAAACATACTATCTGATTTTTAGAAATAACAGCAAAATAAACACCAGAACTCAAGCAGATAACAATACAACACACACACAAATAGTGGAATTAATTTAATATGATTTTCTTCCTAGATATAAATATCATACAGGGAAGCACTACACATTCAATTTTTTTACATGTTAATCTGATCTAAAGGTGGTGTAATGGCTAGCAGCTCAATGACAAATACACAAGTTGAGTTCAATTTCTGCTTGAGTTTACAAATAGCCTTGAGAAATGTATGAGTTCATCTCATCTCCAACTTCCTAGCAAAGGATTAAGAACAGGGCAGAGTGGACTCTCTAGATATGAATGGCAGCCAGTTTAGGAGAAACCTGACATGGCATATACTTGAACTGCAAGACCTGTTGCAATGTAAACCACAAGTTGGCTCTGTAGGTATTGAAGAAACACAAGTGGTCCTGAATAGATGGACTTGCTTGGAAACAGCTCTGATAATGATGTTACTTTGATCTTTACTGGAAATATACAATTATATTTATTTTTCCAATAGTTGCACTTTAACTCTTTCACTGCAAGATTTGTGATCATGATTGAATTAGTAATGCCTGTTGAAGAATTTAGCAGAAAGGTTTCTTGTTATTTTGACACCAAATTTATCTATTTTTGCTATATCAGATTGGTGTCATGGAAACTTATAGAGGTAATGGATATCAATCATTTGATTTTGAGCAAGTTCTGAAAGAAATTACAGAATTCAGAACTGAGTGCCTGTGAAGTTGATTTTTAATACAATGACTCTGATACAGATGATAGGCATGCTGCTGTTACCATATAAACCCAGTGCTACCTGCCACATAGTTGGGACATTGGCAACACTTTTCCTCCCCCAATAAAGATATTGATAAAAATGGTCAGTTGAACTTAGTTTAAGATTATTTTCAAAACTAGTTCCAGGGACATTTTCATTCTTTCAAATCAATATAAAAGAGAAGAGTAATTACTTGTAAAATTCCAAAAGTTCCTGTCATGAACTCTAAATTCATTGACACGAAATGGTTTGCCACTAGCTTGTCTCATCTTCAGGGAAAACAAGTATAAAATTTACCAGAGTTTGAATAGCATGGTAGATTAAAGAGTTGTATAAGTTAAAGGGTATAACATGACACCTGTGACAAAATCCAGTGGAACAGGCCAATTTTTATTTTTGTTACTATCCAAATGCATATGTGTGAGTCCTCACTTTAAAAATTCTTTTGTATCACATTTTGGCTTTGTGTGGAGGCAAATAAACATTTTTTTCATGTTATTTAACTGTATTTCTAAGAATGATTTCCATATGTTGACTACTGTTATTTAATTATATCTATATTAAATAAGGCAGGGAAGAGATGGCGGAAAAGGCTATGAGAAGAATAAAACAAAAATCTGAAATGTGGATGTTGGGTAGATCATATAAGGTTAATGAAATTGGTGAGGGTAGATTTTTGCACAAGACCTAGCAAAGGTTATGCCTTGTCATTGAAGTGTAAGGAAATAGAGAAGGGGGAAGGAGAGAAAGATTGAAAATAAATGCAGAACACATGAAGACAATGATATTAGAACCAGAGGAAGAGAAGTGAGATCTCCATCATCCAAACGGGCACAAGGTTCAGTCAAGCAATGGATAAGTTTTTGATAAAGACCCTACTCTGTTTCATTTTCCTTCTTTGTCTGCATTTTTAATACTCTCTCTTTGTTTCTTTTTCATAGAAAGTTATGTAAGGTTGGCTTAATCCAGATGTATAATAGAGATCAGTTTCTTGCTGTCTTTTTTCACTGGTTGCCCCCCACCCTGTGGGGAAAAAGAGCCAATCAAAAATAACCTAAAGATTAAGGGAGATTAAGTTTTAAATTAAAAAGAAAAAAGCAGGAATGGAAAGAAAAAGCAAATCAGAAAAAGAATTTAAGAGTAAAGGTCATGAAAAAAAAAGGAATAATGAATAAAATGAGTTTATATAGAAAAGATAGTTCTTTTTTTTTTTTTTTTTTTTTTTGATCTCAGTCATAACTTTTGTCAGCAATCATTTCCATTTTGTTTAAGATAAAGAACTTCATTCTTGCCTCTTACCCTTTTTTTTAGTGGCAATTCAACAGTCTTTTTGCTTTTATTCTCTTTTAATAAAACTCCTTATTAGGGTTAAGCTATAAACTATTATTTTTTTCAAAATCACTTGTTAATAAACTGTAATGGATAAAAGGATGTACTTGTTTTTTGTTTTTTTCCTTTTGTTTTGATTTTTATTTCTTTTCTTTTTTTCTTTTCTTTTTTTTCTTTGTTTTGATTTTTATTTCTTTTCTTTTTTTCTTTTGTTTACCTTCTTTTTGTTTTGTTTTTCTCTTTTCTTTATTTTCTCCTTTTTCTTTATTTTCTCCTTTTTCTTTATTTTCTCCTTTTTTATTTTCTCCCTTTTCTTTATTTTCTCCTTTATTTTTCCTTTTCTTTATTTTTCCTTTTCTTTATTTTTCCTTTTCTTTATTTTTCCTTTTCTTTATTTTCTTCCTTTTCTTTATTTTCTCCCTTTTCTTTATTTTCTCCCTTTTCTTTATTTTCTCCCTTTTCTTTATTTTCTCCCTTTTCTTTATTTTCTCCCTTTTCTTTATTTTCTCCCTTTTCTTTATTTTTCCTTTTCTTTATTTTCTCCCTTTTCTTTATTTTCTCCTTTTTTCTTTATTTTCTCCCTTTTCTTTATTTTCTCCTTTTTCTTTATTTTCTCCCTTTTCTTTATTTTCTCCCTTTTCTTTATTTTCTCCCTTTTCTTTATTTTCTCCCTTTTCTTTATTTTCTCCCTTTTCTTTATTTTCTCCCTTTTCTTTATTTTCTCCCTTTTCTTTATTTTCTCCCTTTTCTTTATTTTCTCCCTTTTCTTTATTTTCTCCCTTTTCTTTATTTTCTCCCTTTTCTTTATTAATAAAAACAATTAACAGTAATTTGATATTGTTTATTTAATCGATAGAAAGCCTAATAGAAACAATAGAAAGTTTGAAATTTTTTTTAATCTTACAGAATTAAAGTGCAAAATACTTTCTTTGATCAGCAAGTCATGAGAAGGAAAAAATTAAAACAAGACTAAACTGTTATTTATTTTAATCATGTCAACAACTTAACCTAACAATGGAATAAACTGGGAAGTTATTAGAAACTACTAAGTTTTAAGGATATTTTATATTTTTTTGTTTAGTGTCCTAAAATGAGAAAAAAATAAAAAAATACATATAATCAGTTTTAAGAAACAAGATAATTTTGCTAGAAACAAGGTTTGTTGAACTGTTATGTCCTACCAATGTTTGCAATTGGCAGTGAATATTGAACAATTACTTCACAGATGGAGAAGAAATTTGAGGCAACAGATGTGGCCCTATAGAAGAATGCTAAGAATACCATGGACAGAATGAGAAAAGTTTAAGTATGGTGGGAACAAAAAGGACACAGAAAGAAACAGTTGAAATAATTTCTGAGACACATAATGAGAAAAGAGGGGTTGGAGAATTTGACATCCACAGGACACACTGAAGCCAAAAAGAGGGAAACAGCAAGTAACCTACTTGAGCTTGTATAGACAGTAAAAAAGAGATTGGGATGAATAGTAAAATGAGAAACATTGCTTTGAACTACAAAGGATAAGAAGTTGTGGAGAGCCATGACTGCCCACACACTGCATAATATTCATAATTCTTTTTTTTTTCTTATTGTGGAAACTGATACAAAAAATAATTATACTTCAGGAAAAATTAGTAGAGACAAAGTATAGAATGAGTGTCCATGGTTAAATATAAACAAATGGCAGAATTGTCCAACTTAACAAGAAAGAACAGGACAAAATAGTATAAAGCAAACAAACAATATATGCAAGGCAAATTAACAGTAATAAGGCAAAAATTCATAAACTAAGAATGGGGTTTGACACACAAGAGCAAATTCAAATAAGCTAACATAGTATTCTGACTTCAAGACTGAGTCAGATGAAACTGTGAACTGGCCTACCTTATTGCCTAGAAAGAAATCCCTGCATGGATTTGTGTGATTCTGCCTATGCAATGGGGAGGAGAAAATATTTTGAAGTCATTCCCACAATTAGATTGAAACCAACACAAATTTCATTGATTTTATTATTATTATTACTATTATTATTATTATTATTATGTGGTGAAATTTTTTTGATTGTTTAATGTTTACTTAATTAGTTATTTTACCATATTGAAGGGAAATTATTAGCATTTGATATGTCAATCAGACTATAACAGAAATATTTTACAAAGGAATTACTTTTTGCCGCTACACATTCTTCAAGCAAACACCCATCTTCCAACAAATTTTGCTGTACAATACAAACCATGAGTACTTAGCTTTTCATCTTAATGTCTATTTTCTCTTAATCTGGTTAATAATGTAATTTATTATTACATCTAGGAGAAAAATCTTTATGAATTCTTATCTATATTATGGTGATTTTCTAATCTTAGCTTAGATGTGGCACAAGGCCAAAAATATGATGCATCCAGTGAGGACTGAACTCACTATTCAGTCATACTTGATCTAATGAGACAAGTTTGCTAACCATTATAGCACATGGAGTGCCCTAAATGATTTTCTAAACATAGCTTAGATGTGGCACAAGAACAAAAGTGTGGAGCACCCAGTGAGGATTGAACTTGGTTCTAATTGATCTAGCAAGACAAGCTTGCTAACGATTACACCACATTGAAGTGTCCAATTCTTGCCTATATTATGGTAAAGCAATTCACAAACAACTTGGTTGTTTTATTAATTATATTTTATGCAAATAAACTGGTGTTTTGATTTTGTATAATTCTATGGTTTACAACATTTAAATGAGACTTACTAATTGCTGACAGAGCAACAGATTTGATATTCAAATAAGAATTAAAGATGAGATATTTGTCAAAATAATAACAAAGAATTTTTGTTAGCAGAAATTCTAAAGATAAAGTTTTGTTTTGTATCAGTGTGAAAAAAAAAAAAAGACTGCAAAAATGTCTGGTGTTCATACCTCAAAGGAACAGAAGGTGAAATATAGCCACAGCAAGAAAAGAAAATATGAAACTTGTTTTAATCATACTAGGTTCTTTATTCATGAATTCATCTGATTCTGTCTTGGAACATTTTCATTGCCACTTCTCTCTTCTCTGACTAAAAGACCAGATCATCCCTTCAGCTGGTAAGAATTCTGCATGTATCTGACTCTTACTACTTTTCTCTATATCTCTACTGACTGCCTGTACATCTCTATGGATGACGTGTAACTGACCATTTTAGAATGCAGCAGCTTACAGCCATATCACATTGACACAGTAGTTCTTGTATGATTCACTGCAGTTAAGCAATGTTGAGCCTGGTCAGTACCTAGATGGGTGATTGCTTGAGAATACCAGATGCGGTAAGCTTGGATGTGCAGGTGGTTTAATGGATAATGGCTCAAAAATGTTAGTTGGAGAACTGAGTCCCAATTCCACTCGGGTTCATTATATTCACTTACATGCAAATACATTTGGGAAAGGAATAAATCCACCTCTTCTCTCCACCAGCTATGGGTTAATTAGTATTACTTGTATCAGTAAATCATTATCTAAAAAAAAAATTCTTATGATTTAAAAAATATTTTCTGGCATTAAAATAACCTGCAAAAGGTTGATAAACCTAAAAAAAAACAATCAATCAAAATCAATCTAGAATGCAGCTTAACTCTATACCAGCCTAGTGGCACTTGATCCCAAATGTTTTTATTTATTCATATAATTCATTTCTATTTTTAATACTTCTAGACAGCAAATGGTTACTTTATTGAAGCTCTCACATCTTGAGTTTACCTGTTGTTATAAAACTGCTGGCACTTCAGACCCAGATAAAATCATTTACAGCTCACTTGACTAAGTTAGCAGGTTAAAGGTGTAATGAAGGTTCATAGGGATCAGTATAAACAGCTATGCTTGTTTAAGTTTTTGTGAGTGATATATGTGTGAAGCTTAATGAAAAACTGCCCATGTATGAACTAGGGAAGTTTATTATGAGGTCAATGGGTTGAAAAGATTTATGACAGGTAGGTCTTCTTCATTACAATAGTTATTCACAAGGTGAAGTGATGTACAGGTAGAGGAGATGGGTGCTGTAGTTTAGGTGAAGGGATCTTACTGTAGTAATTTTTTCTCTCTTAATTCCATATCCAGGTTCAGGTTAACAGTCATACATGGATGTCTGATTCTAGTCAAGGCATGTGGAGAAAAGAGAAAGAGCCCTGCTTTGGAATTCTGTTATTGAGGTCATCTAATTAAGGTCTTTCTGGTTTCCTGTTTTATTGGTTTGTCTGATGGGAAAAGGGGTTATTTTATTTTATTTATTTACTTATAACTGCTGCAGCAAATTTCTTACAATTTGGAACAAATTTAAATATTCAGGAAGATTAATACACAAAATATAGAAAGAATTTCATTTTATCAATCAAGAAGTTGACCTGACATAAAAGGTGAGTGGGTTAGAATAAGTTGTATCATCTCTTGAGAAGCTGACAAACTTGCACTGAATATCTACCTCTTTCCACTCTCTACCTCTTTCCACTCTCTACCTCTTTTCACTCTCTACCTCTTTTCACTCTCTACCTCTTTTCACTCTCTACCTCTTTTCACTCTCTACCTCTTTTCACTCTCTACCTCTTTCCACTCTCTACCTCTTATAGATTTTTCTTTAGTTAGTAAAGATGAATATGAGTAAACAATCTACTTTTTTTTTTTTTTTTTTTTTTTTTTTTTAACAGAATTTGTATTTGAAAGCAACAGAAAGAAGCAGTCCTGTTTATACTTAAAACAATTATTATATAAATAATAAACCTATTCTGGCTAAAACAAATTTTAGATAAAAAATTGCAAAGTTTTCAGTTTTTTTTCCTACAATCAGAAATAATTAATTTGTTAATACAGAAAATAACTAAAGTTAAGCATGGGAGTAATGGTGAAGTCAGTGGGTAAGAAAACCTGAAACTTTGCCTTCAAAATTAATTTATTACTAAAAAGAAAAGTTTCAGTGTATTTTAATCAATCCTACTCATTATATTATGAAATGTACAACTAATTTTCAAATAAACCTATTTTGGCAGACATCTTGGGTTTTCAGGTGAGAAACTAATGTGTGATCAAAAAATTTAATGTAAGAAAAAAAAAACTACTTTCAGGATATAAGAGAAATCCCTTCCAAACCTAATATGATCTTGCTTCATTTGCCCATGTTTGCTTTTGTGTTGTCAGTAGATTTTACAAGGGTTTTAACAAACAAGCAACTGGCTATTCAACCTTACAGGTCAATTAATTGGCTGGTCCTTGCCCAAGAAACCAGTGTTAGAAATTGTTATATAAGAATAAAGTGCTATTGCCAACACTTGAGTTTGAACATAGATCACCAGTGGGCAAACATAGGTAATGCCATTATTGAATTAAGTAGACCACTTGACCATAGAGGAAATGCATATATGGGAGGTATCGTGATGACTCTCTCTATTTCTAGTCTATCCTCTATTACTATACGGACTGCTATTCTATACTCTATTTACTATACTATTCCTTTATTTGGATCACTATATGGATTACTGTTCGAGCTAGTATTATCGTACAAGTGCTATTCAAAGGTATCTGACACCAGTATTGTTCAATGGTGTACTATAGTTGTATCTGCAATTACAAAGTCTCTACTACAATGAACATTGTGAAAGTGACAACAAGTATTCGTTGACATCACAAAAGAAATTAAAGTTTAGGCTTGTGTAATTTGGCAGAGAAATTTCAGGGCACTTGTCATTTTGTTTGGACCCGGCCACAATGAAGACATTTGTTGGCTATCAATAAAATTGTGTATCAACACATTCAATTGGAAATCTCTACAAAGAAAGTCACTTTTGTTGAAACTTCCCACTTTTTTTAATTTATGGAAAGTTGAGGGGGTTGAAAATTTGGCCCATCCACAAAGATAAAGAAGGAAACAGATAAATATAAAAATATAAATATAAAATATTTATATTCTAGTAATGGTTGAGGTCCTTTTTTTTTTTTTTTTCTCAAATAGTTTTCATATAACATGAAATAGACTAGACACAGAAAAACTCTTCTTACTATGTTGACTCAAACTGTTACTCTGCTATTCAGACTGGCAACTTGTACATTGTCTTTTTATTTATATCTGGTACATAGACATAGTAGTGACAACAAGAGCACATGCAAATGTTTAACAGAAAAATTCTTGGCTCTATTTGAATGTGTGTAGAGTATAAAATTTATAACTTAAAAACTATATATAAAAGCTGAAAATTTTCAGGTATATACTTTGATATGTTTTAAATGGTGTATAAATTTAATCTTTCTCCATAAATTAAGTTTTAAGTTGGTATCCATTCAGTGGGTATATCATATTTTATGAATAACTTTCAATAAAACAAGTTTTTTTTTATTTTGTCTGAAACTGGTTAATTGCTAGAATATGTTCTAATAGGGTGTCTATTATAATTTGAATCCATCTAATTTGTTTTACCAAATCTTAGTTTACAGAGTGCGATGGATAAATTGTCGTATAAATTACACAAAAATGAAAATGACACTGATATCTCATTTTAACAGATAATTCTACCAAAATTACACAAAAATATCTTGAAATATGAAAGAGTAAATTTATTCAATAAAATCTCCATTAACTTCAACTGTGGCCTCCAGATGACTTCAGAATCTCCTGCAACTCTTCTGGATGGTCTCCTTGTTTATGTTGGGGAATGCTGCCATAATCCTTGCCTTCAGTTCAGTCTTTGGTGTTACAAAGAGTTTTGTTGATCTCTTGCTCAACTGCATCCCATACATAATAGTCAAGGGGTTTGCATTCTGAGGAGTTAGGTGGCCAGATGTAAAGGGTGATGTTGTTCTGGAAATTGTCTGACAGCCATGACTGGGTTCTCCTGTTTGTGTCGTATGGTACAGTCCTGTTGCCAGACATAAGGTCTTCCAGTAACCACTCTCTTGACCTAAGGCAGCACTAATTCCTCAAGGCACTTGATATAGTCCTCTGTGTTGAGTCTGAGGCCCTCACCAATGAATTTAGGAGTCCTTTTCTTATCAGAATGGAGTAATTTTTCTGAGCTGCCATACCTTTGTAATCACCATTAGACTCATCCAACTCTTTCTGAATCCTCTAAACTGTCCTCAGATTGACACCCAAACATTCTGAAATTTTTGTATTGGAACTTCTGGCACAAATACCAAGCAGTACAACATGCCATTTCCAACTTTCTGGTGGAATGAATTGCATCATGGTCCTCTTTCTTACTGACTGTGCCTAACTGACCCTACTATACTATGCAGTTGACAAAATCAAATACAATCAATGAGTATGCACAAAATTAAAAATATAAAATGGCCATATTTTACCCATTGCTCCCTGTATATAGATTTTTTAAGTTTTTTTCTCATAAGCACTACAAATTTATCCATATCAGAAAACCCAACAAATTATTTGGAAGCACATAACAAAGGTCAAATGTACATACTCAACATATTAATTCTATGCTGAAATAATTTGTAATAGGGCTCCTTCAGTTTTCTTCAGATGTTGACCCTGGAAACAAATGTGGTTTGGGAGGTGCTGAAAAGTCACTCCCACTCACCCAGTCTTCCCCAGCAATTTCCAAAGTATTTTTATGCTTCATTGACGAGCATTTTTGTAAAAGTTGAAATCGCTTTCTGATTGATTTTGTACAGGTACATTTCCTTTGCCTTCTGATCAACAAAAAAGATAATTGATTTCTGTTATTACGTATACTTGTTAATTAGTTTATTATTGGATATAACTAGCAAGTCTCTTTATTAAAATATTTTCAATAATTGTTGCTTGGTATTAAGTTGAGACTAGCATACTTGCTTCCAGTCAGACACACAAGACTTGTGCAGTGGAATGTACTGTGAATGATCAAACATGTTAAAAGTGGTTTGCAAAATTTCATGTTTGATATTTCTGTTGAATAAGGCACTATGGTCAATTAGATCACTTGAAGTGATCAAATGATGACATTATTAACTCTATCAGCTTTTAAGAGATTTTAATTATTAAATCCCTGGAATCCTGAACAAATTGCTGCAGAATCTGAATACATGATGCTAGTGCAATTAAATTGATATATTACAGAAAATCATTGAAATAAAGTATTACAAGTTAATTTTTTTTATGAAAGCAAATTGATTTTCCAAATTTAGCTTTTGGTGTTATTGGTTATGAGATATAGTTTCAGAAATTTTACAATATTGGAAAAATAGATTTCTTGTGCTTCTAATTAATCATGTGAAGGATGTTAATACTGTGTATTGAAAATAATACTACCTGATTGTTGACACATTCAGGCAATACATGAATTTAAACATTTGAAACTTGTGGGTGCACTTGGATGTTTCTAACCTTAAAGGTTTAAGTAGAATCATTATGCAATATTACAGTTAATATACATACAATATCCAAATCAAGTATTACCAGCTTGGTTATGTTAGTTGCTTTGATGTATGGCTTCCACAAATTAAGTAAAAATATACTATTTTTGAAACATACAGTGACAGACATAAAAGCTGGATATAGTACAATAACATAGAATATAAGAGATTATCAGGAAAGTGAAATGAAATATTGCTACTTATATCAAAGACCAGTCTTCATCCAAAGAATGTGATGTGTATCTGATGACATTGGATGGGAAAACTGTACTAGAAATCTTTTTCTAGAGAAATAAATTATTAACTTGAACAAGTATCATTCCCAGTTAGACCAAACGAAAGCAATAATCAATGAAATGCTTTTGGAATTAGATAAAAGAAAAAGTGTTCATTTGCTTGAATCTTATATGTAGCTGATAGTTTAGACGTTTCTGAAGGAGTTTGATGCCATACATGACATTCATATGAGAGTCTAGGAGTACATTATTAATTTAGTGTTCACCTGGAAACTTTCATATGGATGTCATGCGTAGCACCAAACTTGATCAGAAATATCTAAACTGTCAGTTGTATACAACTGCTTTCTCAGATCAATGATTAAAAATGGCTTTGAGTGAATAAAGCCTATAGGTTTTAATAAGGACCATCCTTGTTCAAACCTCATGGATTGGTGCTACAGAATCACAAAGAAAGAATTATACCAAATAATAGAAACTTCATCACTTGAGGAATTTTAATAACAGCAACAACTAAAATGAATATTACAAGTAACTTAAAGAGAAAATGTTAACTTTTCACACTACTTCAAACAAAAAGGTTATATAGGAAACCCGCATCAATACTGGAAAGCATGTTATATTACTGGACTCGAGGAACCTATTTTTCTGAAAAATTGTTTTAATAGAAAGATTTTATAAGTTTCAACTGGAAGTAAAACTAAATGCTCAGTCAATGAATGCCTAATGTTTCCTTATAAGGAAGTGGCTAATATTACTATTACCATTAGATTATTTGGTGAATCATTTTCTAAGATTGCTAAAATAGATGTTGTCTATATATTAATAATTACATTTAAAAAATGATTTTTCTTCAAGCAATTTTTTATTTTATTTTATTTTTTTTTTTGTAAAGTATCCCTTAATAAAAAAATATTTGCAAGAATAAATTACATTTTTTGTTTTCTTTCAGTGACTGCAGTGACTGCTTCAGAATGGTTATGCCTTCCCAAAAATATCTCTGTACCCATAGGCTCCAATGTGACGTTATGCTGCCAAACGGTTGATAATTCACCTATCATTTGGGTAAAAACGTCTGCTGCCATCTTGAATGGTGATAAGGAAATGGGCTGGAATGCAGATCAAAGAAAGCGATACAAGATTCTAGGAACGGGCAAATTCATGATCATAAACGTGACTGAGAGTGATGACTCTGTTTATACTTGTTCATATAATAACGGCAACAAAGCCATGTACCTTACAGTGCAGCGTGAGTATAATCTCTTTAATAGAGATATTTACCAACCTTTGTCACAAACATGCAATAGTCAGACAATAACATAAATGGTATTGTATGTATTTATTATTGTACAATATTATAATGAACATTTTTAATCATGAAATATTAGGTTGTATTTATGGAGAAGGAACAAAAAACCCTGGTCTGATGTCCTGAGCATAATTACATTGAATTGAAACTAATTCTTTATTGAAATTAACTATAAATCAGGAAGAAAAAAAATCTCAAACTCTAAACCAAAGTTCTGTGTTACTCTTGTAAGAATTCTGTGCTATATTGTAGTAGTCATCTATTACAAGCTCTTACATTTAATAATCACCACAGATTATTGCCAAGAACAAACAAAAGATTTATCCTTGTTTGATCAACAAAATAAAATTGTTAATTATTGTCAAGTTGAACACATGACTTTCAAACTGATTTTACATTTTTTTTTTTTTTTTTTTTTTTTTTATATATATACCATGTCTCTTCAGGAAGTACATGGTCATGACTCTCCACAGATTTTTTTTTTTTTTTTTTTTTTCTGCTAATTACTTTGCATTCTTGGGAAAGATAGTGGAGTAGTTTTCCATTGCTTTCACCACAGCTTGGAATATGGAGTTTCCTTCTCTTAGGCTAACCCAATCTGACCTGCTATTTAACCAATAGCTGGGGGAGAGGATAATGATTCATGTTTTTTTTTTCCCCAAGGGAATTTGTGCAAAAATTACCACAATAAAATAACCTAAAATTAGAATTCTGCTTGCCAATTTCACTTTCTGCATTACTGTTAGGATGTGCACATCATATAGTAGTTATTGGTGTGGAACATGGAATTGGTATGCCGAGTTCAAATTTCAGACTAGACCATATATTTGCTTTTGCATAAATAAACTTGGAAAGGTATGAATCCATGTTTTCTTTCTCAGCTAGGGTTTAATTCAAGATAGACTGAGATTTCTTGCCTTGAGTAGCAATAAGTCCAGTTCTGCAGAATGACAATTCAAGCCTATATCCAATAAAATTAAAAGATGAAATTATATTATGAGGACTGATCTATCTTCAGCATCTGTTTTCACTTGATTTGAACACCTTTAAATTTTCTTTCATTATTGTTTCAGTGACCTATGACTGAAACAATATATGAGTTAACCCTTTGGAGATAGAGCCTCATTTGGAGTTTCAGTGCCAAGAACACAAAAAATGTATCAATAATTAATATAAAATCACAGAACATATCAAGCTATCATAGAAACTATCATTGAAAGGCCCAGATGTGCAAGAAATGTGAGAAGCAATATGATTGGCTAGTACAAAGACCAACCAGCTAATCTAAAGGCTTGTATTATTGGGCTTATGAATTGGCTGGGCCAAGTCTAGTGTGATTCTAAAAATTTATAAGTAGATATGATTTTGCATCCATCCACCTTTCAAGCACTAATCTAGATTTGAGTAAGGTTTACTCCTTAACATTTTTTTTTCATATGAAGATATTCGCAAAACAGCAGAGGGTTTTATTTCAAAGTTTTCCTTCTCTTAGACTGCTCCAGTCTGCTCTGTTATTTAATTCATAGCTGAATGAAACATATTTTGAACATATCTGCTAATATTACTCGTTTCTTATTGCTTAAAAGAAAACAGCTGAATATTTTGTGTCTTGATGTCCAAAATGTATTTTGAATATATTCGTTAAGAGTTTAATTCATTATTGTTTAAAAGAAAACAACTGAATATCTTGTCTATTCATAGTGAAAAGATTTACTAATTTGAAATTACTATCTCTTTTTTTCAGTGGCTCCTGATCCACCAAAAGTTAGCTCAGATAAAAATGTCTATAAATCTGGAGAAAATGCAACTCTGACTTGTACATCATCTGGGAAACCTGCTCCAACCATTTATTGGATGTCTCAGGGCCGTCGTTACATAGGTGTGTCGGCTATCAATGATCGCACTACAACGAATACATTGAGCATCCTTGTAAGCCGGCAATATAATAAGCAAAGCTTTACTTGTTTTGTTTATAATGATGTTAATATTAATAAGCCTCTCCAGCAGAATATGATTTTTGATGTCCAGTGTAAGTAAAATAGGATTATTTTATCTTCTAATAGTACCTCTCTATCTCTCTCCTACTGTAGAATTTTTGTTTTCAATCTCTAATTCTTTTTCTCATTTGACTTCTGTTTTCCCTATATATATCCCCTCTCACTCACTCACAACTAAGACCCTTCATGCTATATCCACAGGTTTCAATCACCAACATTATTTTGGTATTCCTTTTGTGAAGAGAAAGTTCCACTTGGACAGTTTCTTTTCAAGGACTGCTACTTTTTGGTATACACTTCTCTGAACATTACAATCTTAACTTCTTCAATTCTATGGTCAGTCATTATCTAACCTCTATATACTCATAATCTTCACTCACTACTCTTCTTACATCTATGCAACACATCTCATAATCTTCACTCACTACTCTTCTTACATCTATGCAACACATCTCATTCATTAACCTCTACCTTGAGTAGATCTTGGGACTTTTATTAGGTGAGCAGTAAAAAGAAAAAAAAAAACAGTTCTCTTTCTAGTGCTTTTCCTCTCACTTGATTTCCTTATCATCTCTCTCTAAATTTCTCTCTCTATTTCTCTTTAGAGATTGTCACAGCATTAGCACCATAGGTTTTTCAAACTCCCTATTTAAAATATTACAGATATATCATTCAGTTTTTCATTTTCTAGTTACAGTGTAACCCGGATATAAGAGAGTTTTCGGGACTGGAGAAGAAGTCTCTTATATCCGGGTTTGGTCTATTTTGTTTAGGTAAGTATGGGCTCTAATTTGAGGCCAGACAAAATCTCTCTTATATCCGGGTTTCTCTTATATCCGGGTCTCTTATATCCGGGTTACACTGTATATATTGTCTTCAGTGATCTTTCTGGTTTTTAAAGGCTAAATAAAAAGGGGGGGAAAAACATTTTATTTTGAAAAATCAAATTATATGGCAAATATTAAAAAAAAAAAAAAAAAAAAAAAAATCAAATTTGTAAATTTCAAAAATAGGTTTCATTTTATTTTCTGTTTAATCTTTTAAAACAATTTAAATTTTGATCAATCAGATCTTCCATAGTTTTTTCACATTCCAGGCAATGAACAAGAACATTACTGAGATCTTTGCATATGTTTTTACTACAATTATTACAGTCTTTACTTTATAGTTATCTGCTTGTAATTAACACAAATATTAATACTAAAACCAGGAACTCATTGTAGTTATTTGACAGAGACGTTCAGAAAGCTACTAGACTAATCATAAAATTTTGACTTAAAAGGAAGAACATTTTAAGAGATGTTCAAAAACCTCACAATACTAATGGAAGGTTGCAGCTTAACTGGTTAATTTGTCAGTAGTCAATGTTTTAAATTTCCTTCTGAATTTTTGAAAGCCTTCATAAATGAACATTTTGCACTTTGTTTTCTTTTGCAGATCCACCTTATGTGAGGATTAAACAACGTATCAACCGAGATTTGTTCAAGGTGATAGAAAATACTCGAATGACCTTGACATGCATTGTTGATGCAAATCCACCAATTTCAAACATTAAATGGATCAAAGACAGTAAACTCTTAAAAGGTAATATTATAATTCACAAACCAGAAGCTTAAATAAGATTTGTATATAGGAATATGTTAAAATAAATATAAAATATATTGATTTGATTATAAGAAAATAAAAGGTTATAGTAGAAAACTAAATCATATATATCTGAAGAAAAAAGTGAATACATATAATTCAAATTATAATTTATGATAATATTATTTAGGTGTTAAGGTAAATAGACTTAAATTTATAATAAAATTTAATTAAGATGTTTGACCAGTTTCAATATTATTTTCTTTAAGCATTATTTTAACCAGAAAAGGTGATAAAATCTATTTTTTGATTAATCAAATTGATTTGTTATCAGAGATTTATTTTCAATTTTATTAACTGTTAAATTTTCAAATTAACTACAACATTGCTAAGAAGATAATGATTTTTCCTTAGTTTTTATAAGTTGTTTTGATGCTGTTCTTAATGAATGAAATGGCAACAGAACAAAAAATTTAAACATCTAATTGCTTTTCACACACATACACACAACAGCCTCTCCATCTGCTGACAGAAGGAGGGTTGTAAAGACTTGATATATATAGTTACTAGGATTTTCAAGTGGAACACTGAGTCCACCTTACTTAACACAGACAATATGTCCATTGTAGGATGAAACAGAGGTTCAGCTATTAGAGATTTGGATGTATTGACATACTTATGCAATTTATCACATTATCCTTTCTGAACATACAACCTCTGAATGGTTTTACCTAATAGTCAGCATCATACTGACATTGAAATCTATAAATAAGTAAACTAATGTAATGAGGCGGCAGAACATCTTTATGGATTAATCACAACATCAGCTGTGCAGTATACACAATACATAGATTAGCAGATAAATAATAATCATTATTATATTTTTATACGCATTTTTAACAAAAATGATTTCTGCATGTGATGTCATATACAGCCAATCAGTGATAACTTTAATGGCAGGCCTGTAATGTCAAAATAAATATATATTAGGTTGGCCAGAAAGTCCTGACTCACCTAGGAAGTGGAAAGGAAACAAAATTTTATGGTGCAACACCAACAATTATTTTTCAAAATAAAGTCCATCATTCTTGACGATCTTCTGTCAGTGATCAGCCAGCATCTGAATCTATCCCAGATACCAGTCCACTGGCTTTGAATAAAAAAAATAACTGTAAACAAGCTTCCTTTGCTGGTCACAGAGGAAATGTTCCAGTGAGCAAAATAGGCCATAGTCACTTGGAATAGCATCGGGACTGAATGGTGAATGTGAAAGAAAACACCGTCTATCTGCATGAACTTCTCCTAAGTCAACCTGACAGCAGAACAAGCTCAAATTGCAGTACTTCTTGGATATTCCACCAGACAGATATTAAGATTTGTTGTTTTATTTCTGCTTCCTAAATGAGTCAGGACTTTCTGGCCAACCTGGTAACAATCTTTTCTTAAAACATTAGTTTCTCTTTTTGCATTATCATTTTCTTTTTTTTTTTTTTTAAATAAATCCCAAGTAAGATATAAATAGATATGGCAACAAATAAAATTAAATGTTCAACTTATCTGGTCCTATTTGAAGTTTTGTAGATATAGTATTCACATGTTAGGGGGACTTGA